AGTGGACCAACAGCCTAAATGTTTGTTTGCCTCTACTCCATCCATCTCTCTTCATTCTCCTGTTACTATTTTTACTCATCTTCCTTAAGCCATGGGCTTCTCTACCTTTTCCCCTAATTGCTCCATACTTCGTTCACTTGATCATCGTTCTTCCTGCCACTGCCCATCTGTCCCGTCTCAGCCAGTGCAGGTTTTGTTTAAAGGCTTGATTTCACTCAGGAAAGAGAGACGAGACACAAAAAGGCAGAAAATCAAGAATACAGCATGATATGAGCATGATGAGAACAGCAAAATGAGCCATATGCAACTCCAGGTCATTACTCATGTTTTTATCACCGCTTTATCACATCACAGAGATACGTCTCTCTGAATTGTGTGTACAGAAACTCTAATTTCCCTCTGGGATTAATAAAGGATTGATTGATTGATTGGATTGATTGATTCTGGCGTTTTTAAAAAGTATCCCAGGTGCACGGTAAGGGTCGGAGATGTTTAGTCTATTTAATTTCTGACTATATAAAATGATTTCTTCGGTTTTAAAGTGTGAAGTAAACTCCAACGAAGGAAAATTCAAGCCGATCCAGTTCATTTTGTTTACATTTGTTGCCTGCCAACATTGCGTCTACTCTCTGAGAGTCACGTCCGGAGCTCTATCGGCAGATTCTCTAAATCAAATGACTCGGACTCAGACTCAAGGGCAAAAAAAAAAACCTGATCAGGACATCCCTAGAGGCTACCATCTTGTTCAACGGGGCAAACCCCAACATACAGGCACCAGGATTGGGGGCAACTAGTATGACCACCCTTGCTCGGTGCGTCTCAGTGGGGGCAACTCCAGTGTGGTAGAGTGTCCAGCCCCTCTCAAGGAAACTGGTTCCAGAGCCAGAGCCATGTGTCACGGTGAATCCGACTATATATAATCAGAACATCTCAACTACTCAGAATTAAGCTAAATGATAAATGGCCTGCACTTCTACAGCGCCTGTCTGAGTCAGAGGCAATGTCAGTCATTCACACGCGGATGGTGAGGGGTTAGGGATGCAGCTACAGCTGTTCTAGGGCACACTGACACACAACACTATTCATTTATGACACAAAGTGATTCAGCTCAACAGAACACGATGTTGATTAAAACATAAATATCTCACTGTAAATCATATAAAGTTAAAATTTTATTTAGATTAAATTTGTGACATCACAATATTTGAATTGAGGAAATGTTTGCTAAATAAAACACTTCACTCTAAACTCCCACTTTTGTTCATATTTATCACATCAGATATGGAGTAAAATTATGATTTCACATCATAATCATCTTCTGTCTGGCTCACTGAGGATGATCTTCAGATGCTATATTTCTTCATTGGTTTTGAGTCTCGTGTAGTGCTCAGAAGGAACACGGGGTTAAATACCGTGTGTTATTTCTGAGTAGAAGCACTTTTTCCTTTTACTCAACCACTGAACTTTTAATTAACTCTAATCCCTCTTCTGTTGTGCTATTTTATGAGGAACAGTTAGCCACAGGTGAGGCTAATGCTAGCTATGTCCAGGTCAACATGTAATTTCTTGTATTTCCCATCGACCATTCACCGAATAATTGTGTCCTGTTGCTAGGATTTAGTGAAGGTGCAGATGTTCTCCAGACAGCTCTGTTATGAAGGGGGAGTCACAGACAGTACCAGCCTCCGCCTCCCTTCTCATAATTTACAAGGAGAAATTAAACCTTCTTAATCTGTGCTCTTCTAAATACATTAAGCTTAATTCTCTTTTCCTCATTTTACATTTTCTTCATGCATAATTCCACTTTATTGCTTCTTTCTAAAGCCCTGCATAGCTTTTATCAGACGCTTTCTTCTTGTGCATCAGCTGATCTGAGTCCCTAGCCTCCATTAAGCTTCAACCATTTGCATAGTTGAAGGTGTTCTTTACTTTATTCTTGAACAACAGACATTGTTTTCTACTAACACATCATTCAATTTAATGTAATAAATGAGATTTATTCAAAAATCCAACCTGATCTCTCTTGAGATTCAACCCTTAATGTTTTACATTATGTCGGTACTACCGATATCTTCAGGTTATATATCCATGGTGCACTTCCCCTTTTCTTTTGCACTCCATGGTTTTACTCCATGCTGTGGAAATGGCAAACAGTCAACTCCAGTGAACAAGGTTGGAGAAGAAATTAGGAAAGAAAAGAGAGTGAGCACGCAGCTGGTGCTGGACTCAGAGCCAGCAACCAGACCTTGTTGGTGACCTTCACCAGATGGGCAGGCAGGTCTCACTGGGCTGGCTCAGACATTTGCACTGATGGTCTGGATCTTCTTCTCTCAAATTATAGCCTTAATGAAAATTGAGTCAAAGATTATAATAGACACCTATTGGTTCCTACAGGGCTAAAAGGGTCTATGAAAGACAATAATTTACCAGATGTCTTAGCTTAATTTATGTCAAGATTCTCTTATTCGTAATCATGTTTTGAAATATAAATATGAATTAAATGCCATTTGTAGAATTTGCATGCCGATTATCCACCAAAATGTCAAATCATTAAACACTGAAGCGACATTTGGAGAGCATTTTTGGTTCCAGCTGATGGAATTCAACCGTTTATTCAAGTAATTAAATTTCCTTGAAAGAAAGTTGTTTTCAACTAAACGTTTCAAACACAGAAACATGGGATGCCTTAAATCTCCTACGTCCAGGTGGAAAGGGATTCAGATCAACCATCTGGTAGAGAAACATTTCATTCCTAAATATTCAGCATTAAATTCCTCCTTTATATTGTACATATTTTTTTTTAATTGGTAAGAAATTCCTGCCCAACCTTTTACATGTCCTTTAAAGTTGTCCCACACATATTATCTCAATACATTTTCTGTGGGCTCCATTATAAATGAATGCCTTGTTTTCTGGAAAAAGTTTTGTAACAGTTTATTACAAATCAGTAAATGCATTTTGTCCTAATGGACTCCCGTAGAAGGAAACATGGCATCTGATATGGCGTCGCCCAGAGACTTAGACCCGCTCCCATGTATGTTGGATGTATGTACTTTGTTATGGTTATATGTTACAAAGCCACCAATTTTTTTTCAACAACTGGGCATCATTTAATTCATTTTCAACATTTTGATGGATATTTCCAGAAATTAATGGTAAAAACTACACATTGTCTCTTTATGGGCAGCAGCAGCTCAACAGGTTGAGCGGGTTGTCAGGTGAGCGGAAGGTTGCAGGTTTGATCCTGGCTTTGGACAGACACTTATGCTGTTGTTTCCTTTAGCAAAACATTTTACCCACCTTGCCTGCTGGTGGTAGTTGGAGGGACCAGTGGCACCTGTGCTCAGCAGCCTCACCTCTGTCAGTGTGCCCCAGGGCAGCTGTGGCTACACTGTAGGTCATCACCATCAGTGTGTGAATGTGTGTGTAAATGGATGAATGATATCTTGTAGTCGAAAGCACTTTGGAGTCTGACTCTGAAAGGCGCCTTACAGGTGTGGGTCATTTATCATTTATCATACAGTGCATTGACGGCTCTCAACGTGGGGTGGGGATCTACGGTCTTTCTCTGCATGCTACTGGACACTAAACAACGTGATGTACTCATCACTACGAATGTCAAGTCAATGACGCGGTCCACCATACTCCATTGAAAAAAGATGCAAATACATCCTTTTTCAAAGCAAACTCAAGTATCTCTATCTCCTCTTGACTCAAAGAAAAACCAAAGTTCAAAACAAACTAAAGTTGAGGCCAAAGCCATTTCAAACAATCCACCGCAATTTTTGTGTCAGTAACATCCCGCCCACCAACACAATTCTGTGAATTGGGCCACCAAACAAATAAAGCACTGTGATTGGACTGCTATAGAACTATTTAGCAAAGTCCCACTTAGATGGAGTAACATCCCGCCCATTTGGCTGATAGAGTACTGTGATTGGTCAGCCAAAAAAATTGAGCGCTGTGACTGGACTGCTACAGATGCCAGTCAAGGGAGCATTCTGCCATTACATTGTAGGAAAACTACATGAAACATAAAACACGAAAAACGTAAAATACATTATTTTTCTAAATAAGAACAAAATAAATAGTTAGGTACTGTAGATAGGTGGCTAGAGGTGAATATGTTTCACTTGAAGCATATCTATTTCATTTTGATGCTTACATTTGTAAAAAAATAAAAAATAAAAAGCACTTTGCCTTCTAGTGTTTGCAATTGTACTTAGGTGAGAAGTTTTTATAATCAAAACGAAAATGATGGATAGCATTTTATTAAATTATAGGGCTGCAACGATACCCCTTTTTCCAAACCGATACAATGCAGATACTTGGATCTGAGTACTCGCCGATACTGATTACCGATATTGATACTTCTACCATACAAAAAATGCAATGATTTGGAATACAGATCTGCTTTCAACAGGAAAAGACTGTAAAGTAGATAAAAAGTTAAATATATGAATAGAAATCATCACAAAACTAAAATATTAGGTGAACAGAAATGACAAGTTACAGTGAAGCCATTTTCAAGCCACTGCATTGGTGTCGGTTCATGGTATCGGTTAACTTTCACAATACTGGAATCGGTATCGGCATCAATACTGATACCAGTATCGGTATCGTTGCAGATACTGATAGTACCGCTATTAAATTACCTTGGTTTCACATGCACAATTTTTAAGTGTTTTGTCTATTTTCTTGCATAGCTGTCAGCGAGCACCGAGCCTCTGGTTTATGCCCGCCCATTGACACACAGCTGGGTAGTCACAGTTTCAAAGCCTATTGACTTACATTTATTTCCAACAACTTGGCTAACCTACACTTTCATTTTGTTCCCAGAACATTGGCAAAGCCTCAGAGTGACAATCCACAAAACACAGTTATCTTCCCACTAAAGCAACTTATACACTTTAGTTGTATCAGGTGAAAGAGGAAGTTGTGTGTACGTGTGTGTGTGTATGTTAATCATGCTTGAACACACACATATTTAGGAATCATACCATGAGCATCGCGGTAGTAAGCATGTGTGACGCTCCGGAAACGCTCCTGACCAGCGGTGTCCCAGATCTGGAACAGATGATGAGGACAAAGGACAAAAAGAAAGTTTATAATGAAATTCTCTTATGAACAAAACATTAAGAGGGACTTTCAGTAAAACCGAATGAGGAGTTATAGCTCAGGACGACAGAAGGATGAACGTTCTGCAGCAAGAAGAACTCTGTTTAATCTGGAGTCGGACGTTTGTTACAGAGAAACAAAATATATATTTTTGTAAATTTAGTTGTTTTAATGTTTTAAACCAAGGGTTAAGAATGAAAGATGTACCATTATCTGATCAAAAATGCAATTTCAGACAATACAAAAGCTGTGCCTTTTTGCAGCGCTCTTGACTGACCCAGGATCTGTTGTGTCAGCTGTTTTACACACCCATTTACCAAGCGCAAAAATGTATCAGCGTTTACTTTTAATTTTAACAAGTTCTTCTACATCAGTGTTTCTCAAAAGGCGGCCTGCGAACCCTTCTTTGTGGCCCCCGGACTGGCCCTCAACACATGATGTTTTGTGTTGTGGTTCTCTGCTACTTATTTTTGACTACCCCCGCTCTACACCAATGTGTTCATTGTTGCATGGACGATGACAACAATAACATCACACCATTTATGGCAAGCCGATAATTTAGATACCATAAGATGTCGCTGCAGGCTAGATCAGAGCTAATGTGGGTATTCAGAAATTAGCTTAAATGTATCCAGTTTGAATGTATTTTAAACCAAAGAGCGAAGGCAGAGAAACAGCCACTTGTCATAGTAGACAAGACATAGTAGACATAGTAGACTACGTCACTTTTGGAAGTGAAGATAAGAGCTTTTTTAAAGTAAGCTGCTTCTTTCTCTTGTTGGAGCCACTAGAATAACTCCATTTCATGCTTAATGTTTTGACTACTGCTTCGAGTTTGTTACAAACGCTCCCACCTCTCATCTTCTTCTTCTTCTGCCTTTTCTTCTTCTTCTGCTTTCTCTTCTTCTTCTCATTAGTGGTCTTATGGCACTTGGCAAACAACAATTTGGTGCATTATCGCCACCAACTGGATTGGACTGGAATGACTACCAATCACTTCCTGTTTGAGCATCGGCGTCTTAAAGGAATAGTCCATTGTAGCATTAACAGAGGGGTGCCAGCAGTCAGGGCTAGGGGGCCCCCCAACATGAGGGGCCCCCAGGCGGCCGCCGACCTATGGCTAATGGAAAAACCGCCACTGCATCGACCTGCTGCAGAAACAGCTGCTGCGTTCACAGAAACGAGGATCCGTGCTGCAAACCCGAAATTAATCTGCGTGTTTCCAGTTCAAACTTGAACATGTTTGTTGAATGATTTGTGCAATTATCAGATTTTTATTTTACTTTCACAAAATGCAAGTTCTGGATTAGATATCACTGAAACGGGGATGTTTGCAATCAAATATAAAAGCTGGCGCTCGTTGATTAGGTGTCATTTTTAAAGTCAGGCAGTATAAATGACAGCGGGGAGGCTCGCTAGCTGTTGCACACATGCGCAGTGGGCATCAGAATGGCGGTGTACATGCACGTCAATCGGAATGATGATCGGACAAAACCCCCCTCTCTCAAATTGAAATTTCATTCTGATCCGGCTGAATCGGATCAGAACATTACGACTGACATGCTTACATGCAGAATTTTTGATCTGATTGGGCATTCAATCCGATTAATTGTGTCCATGTAAACATGGCTAGTGTTTGAATGGATCATTTCAGCGCTAACTGAAACTTTGCTTTTATTTTGCAAGAACTAGACTTTCCAACTCTGTCACTTCTAAAGAGAAGCAAATGTTCACTTAAACTGAAGAAAATCTCACACTTTATTATTTTTTTAAGTGTGCAATAAATGATGGATGGATAATAACAGAAAGATTAGAGGAGGGGGAAAGCCTGACTGGCGAGTGACTAAGTCAGGATCTATTTCTGTGTCTTCTCCCGTCTGCGTCTCTGATGACTTCTGGGGTCGGATAATCTGATAGAAAGTGTGCTATTCACTCAAGTGTCTTTAGTCTGCCAGAGCAACGGGCTAATTAACTGACATAGATGGAGCAAGGCCTTGTTAAGTCATCGCTTGCACCTCTTTAGCCTCCCACAGCAAGCTATGATGTATGGGAAGTCATAAACGCCACGGGGAGCTGTTGCCAGGGATTTATTTATGTACACAAACTTTATGACAGTAATAAAAGGAGTTCATTTTGCTTCAGTCCTCACCTGCAGTTTGACTTTCACTGCATCGATGGTCAGAACTTTATTCTGAAAGACAAAAAGAAAAAGGAGAATGAAGATGCTTACAAACTTTGGAATGACGAGTGGTACAACCGTGGCTGAACTCTGCTAGGTCTGCAGCTCACAGACACACACTAGTGGCTATACTCAGCCCTTGTTTCGTAGAGTTGCATCATCAAGGCACCAAAGCAGTTTGCACACAAACACACAAAGGCTAGTCGATACATCTGTAATGTCCTCTCATGAGGGATGAACACACAGCAGGATTAACTTTGCCATCTATCACCACATGATCCATAACCATGAGTTATGGCTCCTGTGCATCACATTTACGAACTGATCCATACAGAATCTAATATTTGCTCCCAGAAGGCAAACAAAAACAAGCAGTTGGAAGTTTTGCAGGAGAATTTGGTATTCAGTATCTTGCTTAGAGGTCTCTGTGGGATGAAGCCTCAGAGATGCTCCATGCTTCCTAAGCTAAATAAATTAGTTTTGCAGACAAGACAACAACAACAAATGGATGGAGCACTCTCACAGTTAAGCTGATGGGTCATCTTTGCTGCACCTGCACATTTGCTTTTGAAATCTTTTTATTTAGCAGAAATTAAGCAATATATCTCCTGGATATTTAATAGGGATTCTGCACAGGGACAACCTGGAACTATCACCTCATGAAATGTGAAGTTATGAGCTACAAATTAGGGATGGACAATGTAGCGGCATCAATATCGGTATCGGCCGATGTTAGTCATTTCTCAACATATTGGTATCGTTTCGATAAATAAAACCAGGCTGATATTAACAACCGATATTTTCTCCATCTCCTCTCCATTTGTTTACCTGTTTCAGAGGGTGAGGGGGTGATGTGTAATTGTTCAGTCATGTGAAGAGTGAATGAAATCACCTCAGAACTGTAAATGTGAGTGTTGTGTGTACATAATAATGTAAATTCAGCTTTAATACTTTTCATTCTATAAAAAAAATCTGCTGGTTTTAGAAGAATTAATGTCAGTATATTGGTATCGGCAAATATCGGTTATCGGCCATAACAATGATCTTAACAATGGATATCGGTATCGACCCAAAAATTTCATATCAGTGCATCACTACTACAAATAATTCAGAAAAAAGTCTAGCATGACGGTGAATTATCTAATTCTGTTTATTGTATTTAGAGTTGGTTAAAAAATATCCCATAATGACCATGTATGAGGGGTCTAATGATAATAAAATAGCACCATAAGAGTAATTTATAGCTGAATTCTCCTGGATATTTAATAGGGATTCTGCAGGGAATTTCATCTCAAAACAACAGCAGCTTGAAACTAGCAGGTCTGCAACATTATCTGTCAGCTCTGTCACATTTTACACAGGAATAAAGATTCTGTGTTTCACTTTCAAATGGAGACGTGTTGCTACGGTTGCATTAAAGCTACAATGACAAATTAAGAAAACAAATTAGCTTAAAACATTTTTTATGCATCTTATCGCTCTAACACAGCAAAGCTATGAATATGTTGAGGTTTAAAAAAAATGAATAAAGTGGTTTTCTCACACTTGTCTAAAAATCTCTGCCAATAACACATTTCTGACCAAAAGCAACCATTGGACCATTGATATAGCTGAACCGCAGCACTTCTCTGGGTCCTTCTCTTTACACACTTACGTAAGTTGAAACAGAACACCTCAGGTGAGAGAGGTTCTCAGCTCAAAAATATAAGAGAAGGGCAAACAGCTGGTTGTTACCATTTCAACTTTAAGGAAAAACAGCTTGCTGAGCACCTACAGAGACTGCCAGCTCATGCACTAGAGATGAAAAAAACAAGTCATCTAACACAGGTCATGCAGCAGCCCAACCTCCCCCATGGAACGCTCGCTGTCATAGAACCAAGCTGCCAGTTCCAAGGAATTATGACCATAATCCAATGGAAAAGAGCAAACTCATTCTGTTAGACCTCGGGTTATGTTAATTGTCATTCGACTTGCCTTTGATGCACCCTGTTATATTTATAAACCATTTTAATTTATAAAGTAGCACAGACCTTTTTCCCTCTGTGTAGGTAGAAGGAAGAGGATCTGAAGACCAGCCAGTCATCATCACAGGCATAAATGTAGACGCCCCATGGACCTGCGCTGCCTACTGGAACTGCCGTAGTGGCTAGTCACCTTCTTTGATGGAGACCCTGCAGTGCATTCATTTCTACTGAGGAAGGTGTTTACCCAACAAAAAATCCAATTTTTTTCAACCTTTTTCACAAAATTAGACACATGGCATGGCATGATAATTAAAATATAAATATCATTAAACAACATAAAAAATCCTATCAGATAGGCTAGAAAAGTCAATAGTGATCCTAGATTATCTCTTTTCAATAGTATGCTGGCTGTTGCAACTGTAGGCTGCACAAAAACATGCATATTTGCTCACTTTGTGTTGACTGGAGAGTGAGAAGATCCGTCCAATATGGCGGCAACTCTGTTCGCTATCCTGTACCTAATGGGGCATCTATATATTCATGTCTAAGGTCATCATGGCCTGACAGGCACAAGCAGAACCAACTCCAAGTCCTTGCTTCCTTGCTTTTGTTGTTGTTGTGTTATGGCTTTGGTTGTTGTTGTGTTGTGGCTTTGGTTGTGTTGTGGCTTTGGTTGTTGTTGTGGCTTTGGTTTTGTTGTGGCCTGTTGTGGCTTTTGTTGTTGTGGCTTTTGTTGTTGTTGTGTTGTGGCTTTGGTTATTGTTGTGTTATGGCTTTGGTTGTTGTTGTGTTATGGCTTTGGTTGTGTTGTGGCTTTGGTTGTTGCTGTGTTGTGGCTTTGATTGTGTTGTGGCTTTGGTTTTTGTTGTGTTGTGGCTTAGGTTGTGTTGTGTTATGGCTTTGGTTGTGTTGTGGTTTTTGTTGTGTTGTAGCTTTGGTTGTTGTTGTGTTGTGGCTTTTGTTGTTGTTGTGTTGTGGCTTTTGTTGTAGTTGTGTTGTGGCTAGGGTTGTGTTGTGGCTTTTGTTGTTGTTGTGTTGTGGCTTGGGTTGTGTTGTGGCTTTTGTTGTTGTGTTATGGCTTTGGTTGTGTTGTGGCTTTGGTTGTTGTTGTGCTGTGGCTTTGATTGTTGCTGTGTTGTGGCTTTGGTTGTTGTTGTGTTGTGGCTTTGGTTGTGTTGTGTTGTGGCTTTGGTTGTTGTGTTGTGGCTTTGGTTGTGTTATGTTGTGGCTTTGGTTGTTGTTGTGTTGTGTTGTGGCTTTTGTTGTTGTTGTGTTGTGTTGTGGCTTTGGTTGTTGTTGTGTTGTGGCTTTGGTTGTTGTTGTGTTGTGGCTTGGGTTGTGTTGTGGCTTTTGTTGTTGTTGTGTTATGGCTTTGGTTGTGTTGTGGCTTCAGTTGTTGTTGTGTTGTGGCTTTGGTTGTTGTTGTGTTGTGGCTTTGGTTGTGTTGTGTTGTGGCTTTGGTTGTGTTGTGGCTTAGGTTGTGTTTTGTTATGACTTTGGTTGTGTTGTGGCTTTGGTTGTGTTATGTTGTGGCTTTGGTTGTTGTTGTGTTGTGTTGTGGCTTTTGTTGTTGTTGTGTTGTGTTGTGGCTTTGGTTGTTGTTGTGTTGTGGCTTTGGTTGTTGTTGTGTTGTGGCTTGGGTTGTGTTGTGTTATGGCTTTGGTTGTGTTGTGCCTTTTGTTGTTTTTGTGTTATGACTTTGGGTGTTGTTGTGTTGTGGCTTTGGTTGTTGTTGTGTTGTGGCTTTGGTTGTGTTGTGTTGTGGCTTTGGTTGTGTTGTGTTGTGGCTTTTGTTGTGTTGTGTTGTGGCTTTGGTTGTGTTGTGTTGTGGCTTTGGTTGTTGTTGTGTTGTGGCTTTGGTTGTGTTGTGTTGTGGCTTTGGTTGTGTTGTGTTGTGGCTTTGGTTGTGTTGTGTTGTGGCTTTGGTTGTGTTGTGGCTTTGGTTGTGTTGTGGCTTTGGTTGTGTTGTGTTGTGGTTTTGGTTGTGTTGTGTTGTGGCTTTTGTTGTTGTTGTGTTGTGGCTTTGGTTGTGTTGTGTTGTGGCTTTGGTTGTGTTGTGGCTTTGGTTGTTGTTGTGTTGTGGCTTTGGTTGTACTGTGTTGTGGCATTGGTTGTGTTGTGTTGTGGCTCAGGTTAGGGATGTCTACTCATCTCCAGCAAGCTTCTGTCTTGTTTAAAATGTGGCGCAATAACCTGCAGTTACCTCAATTCATTTCCAAAAACGCGACACTTTCAAGTCCTTCTCATCTCCCATCATTTATGAATCTGTTAACTTTTTGTACTTAGACTTTTACCAGCCCTTTTTTCCCTTGTAATGAGGTTAGTCACAGCTGTGGACGAACTAAAGCAAGGAGATGAAGGTTCCAGATGAAAGCACTTTGACTACAAATGAGCAAAAATAAAAGAGCTCATCATTCTTTTGGTCTTTTATGTACCAGATCTTCGTTTAGAGCATGTCTTTGTGTTTCTGTTAATACTTTTTGAAAAAAAAAAAAAAAAAAAACCCTGCCATCTGTAAAATTTGTCTTGGCATGATTTTATAAGCCAATTTAGGGTAGTTAGCCAAACACTTCAGCAAAGTCTTCCTTACTTTGAATTAGAATCTTTAATTTAAAGGCATCTTGTGCATTATCATTGTAGATTTGGCCAGAAAGTTTGTAGCTTCAGGGGTTGATGAAGCAAAAGCTCAGACGTGGGAGGAATTCAGAGAGATCATGGTAAAGGACGTTAGGGTGCCCTTGCAGAGTTGTTGGAAGGGTTGTGGGAGTTGGGGGGTCATGGGCTGCTGCTGGTCTCATACTCTGACCCTGTTTATGCTCTCAATCCGTCTATGTTCCAAACCTTATGTGATTTGGATCATGACCAAAAGAATGAGATTCTGGTTACAAATTGGTGAACAGAGTATCCGCAGTAGTAGCCAAAGTCAGAGGTAGAAATAGAACACACCCATCATCTGGAGAACTGCTGCTTTTCCCCATCAAAAGTGATGAAAGCAACATTTATTAGAGCTGAATTACAGCTGTCGTAAGCAACCCTGCTACAGTCTGC